TAGTGACTCATGGTTACTTGTCATTTTTGTTTTGTTCTGTCTAGCAAAGGCAGTAAGAGAAAATAGCCACTTAGGAAAAAAAATAAAAAAACAACCAATCCTGGAGATGAAGATTCCACAGTCTTACAAGGATAGATTTTATTCTAACCTAAATGTTTCTAGATAAATCATTTCTTATAAAAATGTCAATGTCTCTATAACTATGCCATGAAAAACATTATAGGATTATTATTGTGTGGTTTTTCCTTTGCAAGACCTTCTATTTACCAGATTAAACCTAATCCCTTTTAGTTTTTTCTAACACATAATATATTCATAAGCTTCTAATCTGATAAACCTTCATCTTTCTTCAGACAAAACTATTAAGAAAAATTAACACAATTTTTGCTTTCTCAAGTATTGCAACTTGTGAGCTTACTGCCTGCACATGTAATTTTTATGTTCAATAGAATGTGTACCCTGTAAATGTCCTTTCAATTTTGCTATAAAATCATAACCAATCTACAACATTTAGTTTTATTGTTCTTCTCTCTTTGCATCCATGTAGCAGGGATGCATGAGGATACTATTTCTCTAATATGCATAGAAGTAAGCAACTTAGAACAGTGTGACTTTCTGAAACCTGTATATCTACTGCAATTTCCTTACCTAAAACATAAGTTGACCTGTCAAAGGAGGAAATTTTATATTATTTAATATTTATAAAGTTAAATAGAGAATTACTCATCACCTTGAGACCTTTAAAGTATATTAATGTAAGCACTGCAGCATTTACCATGGACAGAAATTCATGGGGCAGGCCTATAAAATAAAGAAATCTCACTGTATCCTACCCATTTTTAAGTAGATTCCAAGTAATTACTAGGAACAGAAGGATGAACCTAAGGAACCAGGACAAATGCACTTCAAAGCTTGGATAAATGTCTAACATGGAATAAATCTAAGTTTTTCTAACTTTTCCAGACTACAGAACTTCACCACCTATCACCCATGACTTCTCAAAATGAAATAACTAAGACACCTAAAATTACATCTTTTCTAAGTGTTTAATAAGTCTCTTGCTTGGGTGATTTGAAAACTCAGGACATTTGTCAACTTTTGGTTTGTTTTATTCAATTTCAATATTATTTAAGAAGCTGTCAATGAATGTTCCTCTCTTTAGACTTCAACTGACTTAGCAGAAATTCCAGTTTTAATGACATTCACTTTTTTAAAATTCAATATATTTTCTCATTTATTAAAAAGAAAATAAGTCCACAAAAATAAAAGATCATTTTCCATTCCCAAGCAGTTCTTCACCATCAGAAATATCAGAAGAATCTCCCACACACATGCATTCAGTATTTTAAATGTTAAATATTTCAGTATACATTCTAAGAATTTGCAGCCTTTCTAAGAATATAAGAACTGTGTCCTTCTGTACTCCTCTTTCCTGTAAACATGTAATGAGGAATATTTTTTGAGATGAAACCTTTGCCTTTTGTTAGTTTTGTTACTTGATTCTAAGGTAAGGAAGTAAGAAAAAAATCCTCCACTTTATATTTCAGTCATTCATTTGGATTTTGATCCACAGAAATTACACGGCTGGTCTCTGCAAATGTCTCCTATCGTAATGTGGATCACTGTGCTGCCTAGTTTCATTCAACACATCTCTCCCTATTTCTGCATATTATCTGTTCTTGTACAAACTTTACCCTTGTATATAAAGTTTACAACCATGAAATACATTCTACCGCATGCCTACAATGTCATTTTGTAGGTTAGTTATTATGTATCTCCAAGATTAAAGTCTTGTTTCCTACATTTAGGTAAAATGCACTGTCATTATATTGGATGTCAAGTTTTCAGTCCAGCATTCTCATTTTCTTTCTTCTTTCTCATTCTGCTAAGAACAGGCACACATGTTTTTACAAAGAACAGCTTTTCACATAAATTACGGGTTACTCAACTCATTTACATAAAAACAAAGATACAAGCAACCTTTTTCAGGCCATTTCACTATGTATCCTTGCTTTTTTATCTGTCTGATCTTTAAAGTTTCTTAAGCATATAATACTTACATAAAAATTTTCTTCCTGATCTCAAAGATTTACTTTGAACCCGTTGCAAAATTCTTTCCTTAATCTTTTAACAATGTCACCCACTTTCCATCACCATGTACCCACTTTCTGCAAGACATTCAATTTCATTATAAATTTGCAATAATTGGAAATTGATAGTATGGAAAAAAACATCCTCAAGATATAGCACATCATAAGATTCCCCACATAAGATGTGGGAAATATAGAAATAAGGTAATGTGAATTTTTATGCTGGTCCCAAGAAGGAAATAATTTTATTTACAAATCAGTGCTACTAATATATTACTCTAAAAAATATCAACAAAATTGCATCCTTTTCCTTCATTTGATTTAAAGCACTGCATTCAACATTGAAGACCATCAGAAAACATTTTCATTTCTGAAGCCATTTTTCAGGCTTTTAGTTTGGCTTCTGTTCATAGATGCAACAGATTTTTGGTGTTTATACGCATTCACTCAAGACCAAAACAAATGTTAATTAAGAAAAAATCTCAAAACTCTGTTTACATCAACTTGATCTGCATAAAGCATTAGTTGCCAGTACAAGTGCCAGTATAATTTAAAGGTCCCAGCATCTAACCATTCGTGTATAGTTTGCTTTGGAATACTTTCGGATGTACAGACTTATTTAGAATTTATCTGCCCTATTTTTCTTAGAACAGATTGCAATATGCACTTGAAATTTTGATATTTTGAAGAAGATACTTTGCCATTTTGAGATCAATTAAAACTATTAGGTCATGCAGCAGGTGAACATACTGTCATTTTCCCCCTTTTCTCTCCTAAAGACAATTGACTGTAGCAAACCAGTAAACTGAAAGGACTTAATTAGTATCCAGGGACAGTTTAGTGGTATTTAATTAACTATAAATTACTCTAAGGGAAAAAAAAAAAAAAAAATCCTAACTGATCTCTGGTTAATTCCTGACAGATCTTTAAGGAAAATTCTAGTTGAAAGGAACATATTTTGCAGTTTAGAATGATCACAGGAAGCAATACTTGTCTTCAGACTAGCAATATATATATATATGTAATATATATATAAATATATATATATATATACATTTTCAAGAGCCTGATTTCAATTTTTAGTTTGTACAACAGATGGACTAAATGAAAAATGTCTCATAAGAGTTAAGATGAAGGGAAAAAGGAAGACATAGAAGGAAGCAGAACATAGATACTGTTTGAAGCAAAAAAAAAAAAAAAGTGCAGAGATTCACAGGAAAAGGAGACAAACTATTTTTCCCTGAAAGAACAGACTCAGCTAACCAACTTTCACCATGCCCTAAGATAGTACCAGGCCAGTACGTCTTTCATAATATTAACACCTTTGCCCATCCTCTGAGCATTTTTGTTTTTATTATCCTATCCTTGTTGTAACAGACTGAATCTTTTCTTACTGAATCTTTACCGAGAAGTAACATTCTTACTAATTATTACTTCACCACATTTGTAGAGTCTTGACTGTTACTCTTTACTCTGTATTCAACCTGACTTTTACTCTCTCTAGTGTTACTGATTATATCACTTTAGAAGCATCTCTGTTCCCAGTTTCAAAAGGACGCAACCTCCATTCTTTCCTGTGCCAAGTTATCCTGTTTTCTACGTTACAGGATCCTGAACACTGGAAGCAGGTCTCCTTCAAAAGCCATTCTGGATATTTCAAAATTAGTCTATGAATGACTTAAATAAAAAATATTTCAAATTTATGTAAATAAAAATTTATAACCACTTAACTAAATCACAAATTACTTTTCCACTATTCACTTGATTAAGAATTGAATATTCCTTTTTACTTCCAGTCCTATTTCAAAGCAAGAGTTAAAAAACAAAATAAAATTAAATTAAAAATTAAAAATGAAGTAGATTATTTTTTCCTGTAAGCCTGTAATGCTAAACTTGAAACCAGAAGTTTGATTGTGTCTTTGGTAACATCAGCCAAACTTCTAGAAAGACAGCCTCCGAATTCCACTGATGTGTTCTTGTTTTCCATCTCTGTTTCCTCCTCACTATTTACTAGCTGTTGAATCATCAACATCATCAAAAACCTTCTTTTTCACAGAATTATGAGAAGGGTTTGTCAGAGTCAGTTTAAAAACGATGGAAGAAACTGTTAACACTTCCACAATATTAAATCTCTCATCTGGCTAAATTACTTCCTTGTATCCCCCATTGCAGACAGATTTTCCTCTTACCAGCTGGTAGTTCTAACCTCCAGCAGACAAGCCTCAAATTGGACAAGTTTTTTGAAATTTCAAACCAAATACCATTGCCAGAGCAAACCAGTGGTTTTAGAGTGAGGTTAAAGGAATGGTATCAAATTGGGGAATTTCTGATGGAAATTCGGGAGTTCATTTTTAAATGATGTGAATCATCTGCAAAACAAGCATCCACATTTCCTCTGCTTTCAACTCATAGGAGCCAAAACCAGAGCTCCTTCTGTGACTCTCTGAAAATGCAGTTACCAAAATTCCAAACAAATATGGCAACTATTTTCTAACTTAGCTAATATGCCAAGAGCAGCACTAAAATGTAGCTGTCCTATTTGACCAGCCAATCCATTACATCTTTCAAGTTATCATCTTTTTCTTCAGAAACTGAGTTTTAAATAAAATCAGAAGACCTAGCTGTTAGCAACCGTGAAGATACTGAGGAAAATGCAGATAGAGCGTGACAGATTTATTGACAGTTGCAATCTCAAATACAAACAATTCAGCAAGTGAAGGATAATTATGAGAATACTTATGCTAACAAATCTGCGTTATTTGTTACACTCTACCTTGCCAATGGAATTTCTTGTAATTAAGCTTTCTTAAAATAAAGCTGTAACAGTACTGACACCCCTCATTCTTCTTGTATGCATGAATATATATTCATAGAATCATATCTGCACCTAGTTGCATGATTTAGTCTTACCAGTGCTGTCATCATAAACAACAGTAACCGTTTTCCACTTGAAGAACTGCACAAGGTCAAGGATGGCACGGCTGAGTGATGAGAAGTCTGGATAGAGGCTGACATAGAAGGAGTCCTTGTTGTCTGACACCTGATGTTTCCAGCGGGTCTGGATATGTGGAACACCCAAAGCATTGCAGATTGATTGTACAGCATTAGCTGAGGAGCTATGGGATGGTCCGAAGATGGCAGCTACCCCAAGAGATAGCTGATCGCAGGCTGAAGAGAAGACAGAAGTCTGTCAATGATGAGAGGAAAGAAGGCAGTGTGCCAGAACGTATTGCACAATTCATATCAAATAAAAGGTTCTCCATGAAATATAACTTTACTTCTGAGAAAACTCCTTTCTTCTGTAACACACAGATTTCAACTTCTGAATACATTTCTAAGCTTTCACTGTGAGCTGATGAATAGCAACACTTCACTTCTAAATAGTGCTCATCTACATTTAATAAATACTTCTATGTCAGTGGAAGTCACAAAGGCCAGCAATTGTGTATAATTGTTTATCTTGTTTATTTCCTACAGTATGCTCCAGCATTATCTTGCAGAAGATGAGTTGGCACATTGCAGAAAAAAGCCAGAAAAATTAAGCAATACTGGAGACTAGTTTCTCAGTCCATGCCCTGCTCCTGTTCATATCACTGCTATAGACATAACTTTTATGAGCACACGGTTCTGAAACTCAACAGATTCTGCCTTTCTAAGGAAACATCTTATTTGGTAGAGAGAAGTAAGGGAAAGTGTCTCCATAATCCAATATGAATGTATTTATATGAGGCTAGATTACTTAGTATTTTTACACCATCGTCGTTGTCCCTCACAACTAAGGAAACAAGCAGTAGAAACACATTTTACTACATTATTTTTCCTCAATAAGTTGAAATTAATTTTTTCAGTTGTGCCATGTCTGTCCTTTTCAGCACAATTAAAAATACTACAAGTCTTCGAGAAATCATGCTGGCACACCTTTTTATTCTTGCAGAGCATCAATGGTTTAAATGAACTTCTCATATACACACAAGATCTCCACTGTATTACTAAGCATAGGATTAAAGCCTAAATGACTAGCCTGACAAAAAAACATTTATGCTAATATTGCCCTTCCTAAGAGTAATCAACAAGCTTTATGCAAATGTCAGTAAATGGGATCACTAACAACAGCAATAGCTACCAGATGGCTTTTCAATGGGCTTTTCTTTTTTTTTTTTTTTTCTGTTTCTGTGATTTGAATAATGCAATGCTTTCACATGTGATTTAATACAACTCTATCAGATGCATACCAATTTTTGTAGTGCACTGAAGGATATTTTGTTTGCACTCACATTACTCTTCATTGAAACAGTATCTTGGAAATATCATCTTGCTTTCAGGTTGCTCTTTCATACAGTAATTTTAAAATCCCATTGATATTTAGTTTGTATTCAGCTTAAAAAAGTATTTGTTAGTAAGAGGTTTTAACAGGCTGTTTTTTGATGCAGCACCTGCCTGGTCACTAGTGGATAAAATCGTTAACCACAGAATGAGTTAAATGTTTCAATCTCACAGTTAAAACTCTGCTTTGGAGTCATCATAATAAAATGAACCATTTTAGGCTAGCCTTTAGCCTTCGATTCTGGACTAAAGTACCTCTCAGCATCAATGGTTGGCTGTGAATTGATGAAGTAAAAAGCTATGAGTACTAAAAAATTACACAGATTTTGATACAGCATGACTAGTTAAAAATAAAGATTTGCATTCTCATGCAAGATGCAAACAGGAACACTAAATATATCCAATCAATTACATTTTGTAATTCTAGCATCAGCTATTCCATTCTATCAATAGTTAGCAATAGTAAGGTTAGCTTGCAATCTCCAAGCAACCCCTAAGTAAGGTCTAGAAGTAGAGTTGTCATCTCAGAAGATTGTTAAAAAATTAAAATTTCAGAATAGATTTCTTCACTTTTTATTAATTCAGGTATGAGGACAAATTATTAAATTAAATTTCACAAGGCAGAATGCATTCAAATCAGATAGAAGATGGGGACAGAATTAAGGATTTGTTTACTATTGGCTGAGATGGAAAGAGCAGCCTCTCAGAACATTCTTTATCTCATCAGAATAACTATTCAAAAAAACCATTAAAGAAATAGCATACTTCCTTTCTCACTCTCTGCTACAAATAAATTATTTTGCTAGGCATAAATATTTAGTCTATAATATTTTTCATGTATCAAAGCACCTCAGAAGAATTTAAATGCTTATTTCCATACAGAGAGACTGTCTATTCTCATATCTAGCAACAACAGCCTTATACTAAAACCGTTAATTTGAGAAATAAACAATTAGAAAGATAAACTTGACATGTTGCAAATAAAAGGCAAAAATATTTATCATTTCAAAATTGATTTTTAATCAGGATTGTATTCCATTATAAAGATGTACTTCGTATACATCTGCACTGACATAGCAGCTTTTCCCTAGCTAGCATTTCTAATGTAGCATCAGAAGTTTTCATTTTACTTAGCAAAAAAATCTCTTCTTGTTTTTCAGTTAGAGTAACACGTTGAGGATCAGATCTCTGTGAAGATTTAAGGTCCAAATCTCTCATAACAAATACAAGTTTACCTTTTCTTGTTAAGGATTCATATGAATCAATCGTATAAACATTCATATGAAATTTGCTTTTCAATAAAAAAATCTACCATTAAACCCTGTGTAATACCATGCAAAATTTAAGTTCTGTCACAAAGTTTTGGGCTTTCAATCAAAAAAGGACATATAGGAGTTACTGGGTTTTCAACTTTCTACAAAAAGGCAGTGATGCAGTATAACTCCTATGTGGCATCATCGTGTTTTAGACCAGAATGTAAAGCAATAGCTCATAACTTCAATTGTTTGTGAGAATCAAAGATATGAAAGTTTAGGAAAAACTGTTCATAATATTTTATAATCTTGAAAATCATCTGAACTGATGCTTTTACATTTATCTGGTAACAACAATCTTAAACAAAGGCTTAATTTTCAAGCTTATTTTTATGCTTTGTTCTCATCAGATAAGCAAAATTACAACTACTTGCTCTCTTTCACAACACAAGCCTGATAAAATATGCCAGTCACACATATGCTAAAGACATTTTTGAAGATGCACTTAAAGTGATAGAACACCTAAAATTGAATTGGAGCCTTGGTAAATATCTGAGAATGAGATTTTAGCCATGAAGCCATAAAAAAATTCACATTCAGATTTTGAGCACCTTAATGAATGAGAGGGTTTTGTAGACTTTCCTCCAGTAATGTTGGAAATGTGCCTGATGGCATACATACTTGACTACACCACTGAAGTCTTAGCCTTTTCCAAGATCATTGCAAGTTGGAAGCACTTAGCATTTCCCAAGGGAAAAAAAAAAAAGGATGGGGGAAATGTTTTCTGACACCAGAAGTTCTACTCTCAAAAACACCCTAATCACAAAACTCAAGAAAAAGAAATTTCAGATTTCAAATGTTTAAAGAAATAGATTTTGGACAGGGTAGTGGGAACATAGTTGACATAATGTAATTTTCGAGCAGTTACCATTATAGCTTTCAAGGGGCAATATTTAAAACACTTCTTTAATGTCAGCTACAACCTTGTACAATGTTACTGCATATCTTTATAGACAGACCTTTTTCAGGTAGTTAGAGCACACGAGTTTTAGCTGCTAATTAAAGAAATAAAATACACAAAAAGTTACCTTTTTTGGATGCTTCGAAACTGTCATAGAGATTTATCTTTTGGGTGTCATATGTTAATGTAGTGTTTGGCAGAAGAGTTCTGTTTCTGTTGATTGTGTTCACAGCAAATCTGAAGGCTAATTCTTCTGCTCCCATTGGACCAGATTCCACACACTCAAAAATACCTCCTGGTGGTGAGGGAGAGAAAGAAAAAAGAAAGAAAGGAAAAACAAAAAACACTAGTAAGCCAAAATGGCATAAAAGAACAATTTCATTATTATTTTGGAAAAAATTCCTCTAGCCTATATATTGGATATAGATATTCTTAACCTAATAAATCTGATATCGTGCAATTAGTATAAAATAGCCCATGATTTCAGTGATATTTGGGTCAAACAATAACCCAACAGCAGTATGTATTAATCAAACTTACCTTAAAGAAAATAAGTTGAGTGTTTTTGCTGTTGTTGTTGTTTGGGTATTTTGTATGTTTTTTTTTGTTTTTATTTTAAAGACATCCTCTTTACTAGTACAAATAAAAACACTATAAGAATATAAAATAATCACATTATTTAGAAGTGTAGGGACAAAGAACATGTAATTATTATTTTACATACTTAAACCTGAAAAACTGCATTCATAACTTCTAGATCACAGGTACATAAAAGGCAAGATTTCTGGAGTCTTGTTTTTTACTGGTCTATGCATTATATAGTATCATGAAAAAGATAAGAAAGTGGAAAGTTCATTGGAAATGCAATTCACAAAGAAGAATATTAGCAGGACATCTCAGATTGTGTCAAGAAGATTTATACACATTTTAGCCTGACTGTGTACCTGAACATATGTATATACATTGAGCAGAGGTTCAAACTATACTCATCTGCACTGAGCTCAATGAACATGCTAAGCTTAATTTCAACAGATAGAGGATTCAACTACAGTCCGCGTAAAGCTCAATCACATGTAGAAAGCATCCCCAAATGGACGGCCAGAGTAGGACATGCCTAAAAGGACAGGCGATTTCTAGAACTGCCTTAATCTTATATGAACCAAACAAGATTGTTGTATATCAGTCCTTCTCATCTTGTAATAAGATATCACTGCCCATGAAATATAAATTAACATATAAGTTGCAATAATAATTTATTCTTTGTTCTCAAAGAATAAGATGTCAACAAAAGTAATCTGAAAGTATGTTCTTCCCAAGGCATAGAATGCCTAAAAAAAATAAAGGTCAGCATCACTACTGCCCTTTCTATTCTTTTGTTAATAGTATCTGTGAATAACAGTAACTAGGACGAGACAGGGATTACATCACTGCAAGAAATGTTTTTCATTTATTTTCTCCTAATGTGTACGCATTCATTTTGAAACTTATGTGGCTACCTGGCTTTGTATTATCTAAAAAAAATCTTAATCCTGGTTTCTCGGAAAGAAACTCTCAGCATCAAAGTACGTAGGAACTGAAACCAAACTTTGCAAACAACCAAACAACCTACATTTGGAAATAATGTGTATTATGTCATTAACTCCTTCCCTCACACATTATTAAACACAAAATGGCCTTTCAGATTTCTAACCTTTTGATTCGTCCAGCCTGTTTCTCAACAGAATATGGAGAACAGGTGTTAATTTTTTTATTTTTTTTTTTTTCCCAGCACATGAATCTTTAAGTTCCTCATGAGTGCCCTAGGGACAGATGCTCGACAAGTATTATCCACTGAAATTAGACTTGTCAAATAACTATTTTAAAACTAGCATTTATAGGAGAGGCAAACATTTAAGAACAATCCAGATATAGCAAGGAATGATTCAACTGATTAAACATATAAGAATATAGATAATAGATAGACAATATTAACAGTAATTTGAAGCTAAAAAGAAAAGGCAAATATGAACTTAGTACATTTTAAAACTGAAAAATTAACCATATTTGTTTAAACAATAATATGCCATTAACATGAGAGGCAATCTGTTTTTTGAATTTAATAAATTATTCGGGAGAATGTAATCTGGTAGAAAAGATTTTTCGCTGTTTATGGCTTATAGTGTCTAAATATTATAAATCAAGCTATGATATTTAAAAAAAAAAAATGTTGCAGAAAGTTAAAAAATAGTGGATGTGTGTTTAATATAGCTATTAAGACACAAGAAAAATTGCAAAAAGTTACCATAAATATAATCAGAATTAAGACAGATTTTATAGATTTTCTTAGAGACTTGGAAAACACTTGTTCAAAGAAATTCTGAATAAATAATATCACACAGTAAAAAAATATGATATACTAAGCAACAAAGGATTTACAAAGAGAAATATGCAATACAGTGTACCTTTCTTCTCTCTGTAATTTTTACACTAGAATCACAGAATAGCTTAGGATGTAAAGAACCTTCAAGATCAAGTCCAACTATCCCAACTCTCAACAAAACAGGACAAACAGTATTTTTGATGGCCATTGCCCTCCTTAATTGCTTAGTTTCTAATCCCTATGACAAGCACAAGGTCACACTTGACTCATGAGTGGTGTCATCCACTCTGTAATTTGAAACATTCCACTCAGAAAAGGGTCTCCAAGCTTCCTACCTGAATTTTTGCTAGCCTCGTGATATTCACTACATCTTTCACATTCTGTGGCTGCAGCTGAAAGCAAGAGCACCTTCTGCCTTACTTCAACAGCTAAACTAAGCACTGCTGGGCATGCATCACAGAAGACTTGTTTCTTTGCTCCTCCCAGGGCACCTGCCACTGGTTGCCAGCAACCAGAACCTCTTGGGCTGGGCAGACTTTGGTCTGAACCATGACATCCTGGCTTGGCTACACATCACAGTTTCCCTGGAGAAACATGCTGCAGCTCTAGGACCAGCACCGGGGAGAAAGGGGTCTCCATTTCAAGAGAATTCAGATTTGCCTGTGCAAAGTCATGACCCCGAATCTGAGAAGTGCTTGGGCTGGAACTGGACCAGAGAATGGCTGAGAGCTTTGCCACTGACAAGTGCCCTGCAGCAAAAAGCACATGACACTTCAGCAAAACAGAGCCATGGAATACAAGTTTTATGCTCATTTTTTTTCCATTGAAAGATTTTCTTCCTTAATTTATATTTGCCTGAAACTCAATACAATCTTGTTTTTTTATTCTTGTATTTTTCATTCTCCTCATCTCAAAGTCTCGAGATAGGGGACACTTTGTCAAAGATGCAACCAGGATATCTAAAATAAAGATGGTTTTGTCTTCCCATATTCATGTAATTCTTAATGGGATTGATAGTCTATCACATAAAAAGACAATTTTATGAAAATGCCAAGGCCCCTAACTTCTGTAAGTGGCAACAGCATGTATAATTTCCCATGTGCTCCACTAAGTGTTTTCTTCTCTCATTCACATGTTTTCTGTCTTCATGATAAATGCACCCCCTCAAAGGTGGCAACACATGGTCTGTCTTCATCAAGGTAAATTTCCATTCCTAAGGAAAACAGGTAGAAAGAACAATCTGTTTCTGTCGTGCTATGATTAGAGTATTTTCCTGGGAGGAAGGAAAATATAGCTTGTGGTTACTACTTTTTAACATTTTATGCTAGATGGATGTTGAATTAAAAATAAGAATCTTAGAATATAATTATGCCATATACTTGTTTTCTATCAGTTTCTAACTTAAACAATGTCAAACTTACAATTCAGTTTCAGGGTATTTCTATGTCTGCTGAAGCAGTGAGGAATTAATATCACATAATTTAATACTTTGGATGCTGAAAGAATTAGGTTCAATCTTGATCTGTGCACTAAAAGCATTGAATCATTATGTTCTTAAAATGCACCATGTCCTACTAATACACAAAATGGCTGAGAATGCCAAGCTCCCCTGTACTAACTAGAAGCTGCTAACTTTGACCAACTTAATACTGCATTCAGGGCATCACAGTTTTTAATTAATCTACTTGAATTTTGTGTACAACTATGAAGTTGCACACTTACATAGAGCAGAAATTTAGGCAGAGACACATCTACATTCTAAATTTCAGAATGTAGTCATAAAATAACAACTTCTTGTTCTCCAGACAAGAGTTCCGTTAAGTATATGTGGAAGTCTATGCATGTATATTTTCAGTATGCTCAGCAGAGACCCAAGTATGTATGAGCTCTGGCATTGATAGAAATGGGAACATTCAATAAAGTGCTTCCTCTGTTGTTGCATGAGATACACTTGAAACCTAATACATAATCATCAGCTGCCTTGGTCTTACTCCTCTGTTCTCATTTTTATTACTGAATATGTAAACAGTAGCAATAAACGCTGAATATTTTTAAATAAAATATTGTATATAAAGTACATCTACTGGCTTAATACTGGGAAATAAATCAGAAATAACACTAGATCTTTTTTTTTTTTTTTAAAAAAAAAAAAAGGGAAAGCAAATGAATATAAAGGATTGTCTTTGCACTTTTTGTACTTCAGCTATACTTTATTGTAGAAGAGAACTTGTTTCTCAAATCAGTTATAGTGTACTGAGTCATGCTGCTCCCTCCCAAGAAATCTTTTTCCTCTATTTCCAATGGACCTTGTATTCAGGATAGCCTTATTAGTAATCAAACTGAGGAATGCTTTGCATTGTCCTCAGATAAGCAGACAGGAGAGTCATAAATCCTGCCATTGACATGTGGAGAGTCAGCCAAGCCAATGCCTATCTCTGCCTAACAGCTTGGAAAAAAAAAAAAAATGGTGTTGGGGTTAGTCTTATAATAATAACCTATCCTAGAGGTAACATGAATTTTTTTTTGCTACCTCACAGCACAGAGAAAATTTTAAAGAAGTAGTTTAGCATTTAGTAGTTTAGCACCATATGTTATGTCTTCATTTATAGTGCTAGTGATATAAGATCTCTGACCTATGACAAAAAGTGTAGGGAATACAGCATCAAATAACTACAGCTCAACCTCTAGCTCAAAGTTTTACTGACTGTGCACAGTAGGTGATAACTGTATAGATGAATATTTTCACTGTCACAATTACCACTTTGTAAAAGTTTACAAGACTCTGGTGGTGACCAAGAACTGATGAATCACAGCGATGAGAACAGTTTCAGATAGACCAGTAGAAGCCAGATGTGCAAAAACCACTGTGTAACAATATTTAAATACTGTATATTTTGCAGTGATTTCCAGGATAATTAAGGTCTCCTGAATCCTGA